TTTTTGTCAGATTTTTATATAACTAGTTGGCTCCGATCAAGATTTCACAAACAAACTAAACAAGAAGGTTAGAGGTCGTTTGATCCGTGCCACTTTCGCAGTCACTTGCGGCAAATTTTTAACAAATAGAAGCTAATAGATTCCGATGAAGGTAACGTCAGAGTTGGAATTATCAGAATATACCTTTTTGATGCAACAAAAAATTATTTTCCAGAGCCATGGTCAATATCTAAAACAATCAAGCTTTTACTCTTGCAAAGTAACAACTTAAATGCAACAACATATATTGATAATGCATATATTGATGCATGAATTTTCGATCAGAATACAAAGATGAAGTTATTCATCGTCAAAATTTCGAACAAAGTCAGATTAATATGAATGTCGATGTGGATGTGCGTGCAAGAGTGTAGTTGTTAGTTTACTTTGTCCATACCGACATCCACACTCACATCCACCCTATATATTCGTTTTACTCTAATATTATCAGTACCCACTGGTACATTTATTGATGAATTATTTGTTGAAGCATGGCAAAATGAAAATAGCTATTCGAATTACAGTAAAACCTGTCTAATGTGAACACCGTCGGGACCAACGAAAAACGTTCAGTATAACAGGGTGTTCATAAAGGAGGGGGACAAGCAAAATCAGATAAAAACTTCAGTTTGACTATTTANATCTTCGATCCACTGATCAATGCGAAAATGTGGCTGGGATTTGGGCAAGATGAGTGCATAGAACTCCGCTACTTGTACTTAAAAGTGATCTGGGGTATCAAGCTAACTGAGCACGCCCATATATACAGTAGAACCTCTTTAGTGGACATCCAAGAGGCCTTTTCAAAGTGTCTACTATATGGAGGTGTTCACTTTTGAGAGGTTTTCAATTTTTGTTCTGAAATCATTGTTATGGTTACTAAAGTGCATTCCACCCCCTTCCTTACGGTTATGTTCCATGGAACTGTGTTCGGGTCAGCGTCACTCATCAGTTGTTGACATCTGTTTCAATTTCAGCGATTCTTTTTGAAATAGCTAGTGATAAAGCTTTGTTTGGACAGTTTCCAGTCAAGATGGACATCAGTCATCTCCGGCTCGAGTTCGCTTACAAGGAATTGTTAATTCCTATTGCTTAATGAGTAGATAAATGCACTTGTGTTCAATTCTTTCTTTCGCGCTTCCTGGTCTATCTTCTCACGATTACTTTCCATTGCAGGATACATCGCATACTGATCTATTCAGTGCGTACTTACATGCACAGCTCTGTTCCGGGAAAAATGAACATGTTTCAAAATCCGGAAAAGAGAAATCTAGAAAACGAAAAACACGGAGGCTTCAATTTGGAAAAGAGGATTCTAAAAGAAAAATCCTGAATTTCAACATGAAAACTCGATTTTCTTGCGTGAAAATCTTTTTGTAGATTCCCGTTTCCCCGACTTTTGGTTTCCAAATTTTGACACAACACTGAAAAAATGCTGTGAACTTGTGCGACTGTCCATACTCAAGAGATTCTCCACTGGAGGCTGGAACGACAAAAAGTGTCAGCAGTTTAGAATAGAGAAGTATCCACGTTCGAGAGGTCCCTTTCCAGCAAAAATAGCTCAAGGGGACCGAAAGGTGTCCATAATAGGAAAATATCCACATAGGGAGGTCTTACTGCATATGAATAATACTGAATTTCATTTTTTGCTGTTTCGATTCACCATTGAATGCAGATCATAGTTATGCTATTTTTACAGGCTTCTGCTCTTGTGTGGATATTTGTTAGCATTTTTCGTCCAAAAAAAACCAAACTCCTCTTTTCCTCTTTATTTTCAAAAATCCTCTTTTTTTTTAAACTGTGGATCCTCTTTTTTCCTCTTTTTTTGACAAACTGTCGGTGGGATGCCAGGTTTATTACCTATTTTTGAAAATTTAGAAAGGTTTTAATGAGCGTTTGACTCTATAGAAAGTATCGTTGAGGAAATCCAGATACAGGATCCTCTATAAAGAACATCTAGGTAAAAATTGCATCTTTTTATCCTCCTCCTTTACGTCAGGTAGAGTTCATCGGACATAAAAATTTCGAATCCGAACCTGGTTAACAGGAAAAATTCAAACGCAGGCCTGACAGGGTCGAAGTTTGAGTGTTGATGCAACTCTGAATCTGACTAAAAAGACTGCCGAAAAATATATCTCAAGTATCTAAACGGCCGAAAATGTTTGACCTACCTCTCTTTCTTCATCTGATAGTCCTTTATGGATGACGCCTGAGTAATTTTTTATCTAAATCTTTATCTGTTGATACATCTAATTATGATTAACTTTATCTGGCATTGTCAAGGTATTGAGTTAAAAAAAGACGTCACGTGTTTAAAAATTTCAAGAAACTTTCATCATAATTAGAGAGTGAGTGTATGCATTTACTTCACCGACATCGACACATTCTAATCTAATCGAATCTATTACGTGGACAAGATTTTAGATTAAAATTCAAAAGTATGATTTTGTTGGAATGCTGGGGTCGTGTTGGAAAACTCTATTAAAAACTTGATATTTCAGTACGAAAATTCTAGCAGTTCAAACTAATCTAAGGCATTTAATTACTAACTAGGTCATATTACTTGAACATAATTTCAGCTTAAAAGCAATTTATCACTTACGTTAGATACGATTTCTCATTAGTGTTAATGTGAAAAATAACAATAGACTATTAAAACAATTTTTATAAACAGTTTTCATCCTATTTTTGAATGATTCAAAAAATTATTCTTTCATTTAAATGAAACATCTTTCGTTTGGTTGAAAAAATCTTTTTAAAATAATCATCCTACGTCAACATAATTCCTCTCTGAATAATGATATCTATTTCTGTTCGATATAAAACATGTTTAGATTAAAGTCTAGGAAAAGACAAGAGTAATTTCAAGATGTTTATGTTGATTATATTTAACTTATATGTAAGTTCAATGTTCATCGAAGAATTACTTCATTTAGTTGATGACAGTATCTTTATATCTTCAGCTTTGTAATTGAGCGTATTGATTAAAAAATGTAAGTCATATTACACTTAACTGTTGATCTATTCACACGATACGTAGGATAATCTTGTTATTTTATTTTTATCAACTATTAATGTTATTAATAATAGCATAGTGAAGACTTGTTTTTTTTTCTTGACATTATTTTATTAAGTAGAATTTTATGCAGGGAAGAATATTCTGCATAATGTCGAGTTAACACGAGTTTTATTTATTTTTTTTCAGTACAGAAAATAGATGAAGTAAAGCAAATATTACCAATTTAATTATGAATAGATTCAAGATCGAAAAATTATCATTGTCACTTATAGTAATACAATTGATGACGTCATACTAAATGAGAATATTCATTTTTTAATAATCGTCAAAATACAAGAGTTCATCTCTAACTTATATCAGCATATTGTCGTTTGGTAATTAAAGTCATTTTTTCAGAGGATGTCTTGAACGTTTTATTGCTGCGATAGAATTATGTTTTTCTCCGTTGAATATATTTTTAACAAGCAAAGACATGCGAATATAATTACAAATACGCATGGAGAAATTTTGGAGCAGAAATACATAAAATTTGCATAAAATCGCTGATTTTTTTCTATCGTATTTCATGAAATTATTGAAGAGAAAAATAATTTAAGAAGACTTATATTATTTCCGTTCGAATGAGGAAAATAAACGTATCTGAAAATCAAAAGAGTTTGACGTTCTTAAGACTTTGTTCATCAAATATGTTATTGCCAGCAGTCATTTTATTTCTACTGTTTTTAACAACTTTAATCTAATAACCAAGATAAGTCATCAACAACAGTACGAGAAATAGATTGAAAATTCTCCACTTCAATTAGCTCAAACAGACTGAGATTTTGATAAATGGTAAAGATATATTAAAAGTTTTTGTTTTCCCATACAGATAATGTAAGCAAATACTACTAACAAGTTATACTTATTTTTCATCTTACATTAAAGAAATTTTACCTATTGTTAAGCAAAATAAATATCTATGAAGCATTTGATATAGATAATTTTCAGTTTTGATCTAAGAAAATAATTAGAAGAAATCAAAACGAGCTTTATGAATGAGACTATACTAATGTATATAGAGCAAGTTTTCAAAACTACTTAGTTTAAATGCTGAAATTCGTGTTGTATAAGTAAAACATACAATTGCAGCTCATTGAACACGAAAATATCAACTTGTTGACCAAAACCAGTATTTCATGTTTAAAAATTCAAAATTTTGTAACTATTGACTTTTAAATTGATTAGTTCTAAAAATTTGCTGTATATTCATCAATATGTAGTATCATTCATAGATTTTCTTTTAGTTTTTCTTATCATTATTCTTTTATAAAACACTGCACATGTATTTTTCTTACTTGATAGCAGGTTGATTTACTTTTGTAATACCAAAAATAATATGCTTTATAGTAGTATTTGCTTACCTTATGTGTTTGAAAAAACAACACTTTGACAATACTTCTATCACTAACTAAAAACTAAATCCATATCATTGAACTGTCGCTGAGCAATTTCATTTTTCTTGCAGTACTAGTAATAGTCCACGTTGTTCAAAAATTTCTCGACGTTAAGCTGAAAGATCATGACGTATAATCTATTCCATATTCTTTATTTCATAAAATTAATAAAATCCTTCTAGATTCTGTTCTGTCAAAAACATTTGTCGAACATTGTATATTTTATTATCAACAGAAGTTTCTGCAATTTTTAGCAGAAAACCTGTTCAGAATCATTAAAACCAAGATTTCTCTCATGATGAATATCTACTGATGTGACTGTTCATTGTCTTCAATAGCAAGAAAAAGAGTTCGAATTTTCTAAAGTTTGTATTTTTATTTTACACTATATATGTTGTTATCTTCTGTGACGAATAAGAAAGTCGTATTATTGGGATAAAAAAAGAAAGGAAGAAAGATATTATATTCATTGAACTTGTAAAAAGAAAAGCCGACATTACATATATATCATGTCATCATCATCATTATCAACTGCACAAGTAATTCTTACTGTTTCTCAATATTATACAATCTGTATTAGTTTTATTATTTTATTTTCTGGTATTTTTGGGCATATGACTATTATCTTCGTATTAACACATCTAAAAATTTTCCGCAACAATCCATCTGCTTTTTATCTCATTGCAGAATCGGTTGTTGATTTACTTCAAATAATAATTATATTAACATCTCGTATTGCAATGAATGGTTTTGCTAATGATCTAACACAGGCATCATCACTTTGGTGTGAATTAAGAGCCTTATTTGTACAATCTTTGACTCTTATTTCAGTCAATATTGTTTGTTTTGCTGCTATTGATCAATATTTATCAACAAGTTATTATCCATTTTTAAGACAAAAAAGTACAATAAAATTAGCTAAAATTCTTACTATTATTGCAATTATAATTTGGATTTTGCATGGTACACCAGTGTTCTTCTTCTTTAAAATTCAATCAACATATGGATGTTATGTATATAATCTCAATTTTCTAAATTATGTTACATATTTTTATTATCTCATACTCACTGGTATTTTACCAATCATTATTTCAACATTTTTCAGTGTATTAGCTTATCAAAATGTTCGTCGTATTGTACGACGTCACATGCCAATACGTCGACGAAAACTTGATCAACAATTGACAGCAATGATTCTTGTTCGGATTGTTTTTTTTGTCGTTATGATATTACCGTATATTTTACAACGTATTTTTACACTTGGTATATTCATAAAAAATGACAATGTGATTTATCAAGCCATTATACAACTTATCGGAGCTATTATTATTTCATTTTTTCATCTTAATTATACAGTATGTTAAAATAACAGATTTATTTTATTTATCTCGATCATTTTAGGGTTCTTTTTATTTATTTTTAATATCATCAGAAAGATTTCGTCGACAAGTTAAACATGTTTTCATACACAAATGTTGGCGAATATGTTGTAGAAAAAGAATAAGCCAAAATCAAGTTGCCACATTGACACAAGGTTCCCTTAGTGAATATGATTTACAATCAGTTCAATGATGCGCAATAAATCATTATGTAATTATTATCAATGTAATGCTACTCAATATATGATATGACATATTTCAATGACTTGTTTTGGATGTTTTTATTACGAAAACAAAGCATTTCTGTATTTCTCTATGCTCAAGTCAATGATTTAGACTACTGGAGTCCACCGAAAAACTCGGCAAACTGGTAGGAACTTGGAAGAAGGAATCCAATGATCGGATTCGATCTCTAGATTCCAGTATACAAGTTCCTATCGTTTTCTGCATATTTTTGGTTGGAACCGATCCATATTTCTTGACTTGGATGTTTCATTATACTTATGTCTATTTCTTTCGTTCAGAAGTGAACAACAAAGTAATATGTAAGAAATAAAAATTAAAAGTTGAATTCGAATTCTAAGAACATATATTGATTTTCTTTTGATTACGTTTATATATTAACGAGAGATTGAAGTTATATTTGTTTATCTTGCTTACTAATTGTATATATATCAAAAATCTTTATTTATTCTACTTGATTATACTTTCATGTCTTTTTTTTGTTGTTGTTGTTGTCTGTCTATTTTACCTTGAAGAACTAAATGAAAAATATAGATTAACAATGAAACATTGTCAAATGATCAATTGCTTTCTCATTGAAAACTCTTGAACTGTAGATTACGAACCATGTTGATTTTGAATATGACAATGGAAAATTCCTTCATGTCTTCATATGCTGGTATTCTAGAGTAACAAAAATTTCGTCAAACACATTTTTCGATCTGTCCAGATTATGCAACATATTGAAGGACCTAGGAAATAGTAACTTTTTATATTGCAAATCGTCTTTTTTTTCGCAGTTAAAACAGCCATGTTATTTTATACAGCAGATTCATGTCAAAAGACAACTCAATATGGTTTATAATGTGAGCAGTTCAAAACGAGTTTGACGAAATATATGTTAACTCTGAAAACTAGTATACGACGATATAATAGGATTTCTTATGGTTATATTCGGAACCAGAATGGTCGATGACTTATGGTTCAATAGCTTTCAGTGAGAAACCGTTATATTAGTTGAAAGTGGTGCCTCCTCAGATTAATTGTCCTGGTAATACAATTGATAAAATCAGGATAAAATCGTATAATTCAAATGCTCAAGGCATCTCAATGATAAAAATCAAGCAGTATTTTTTTTGATATTATTTTTAGAATTCATCGAATAAAAGTTGAAAGATGTTTAACTTAACGAGCCATTCACGATCATCATAATCATACATCTAGGTGGACAACGTAAGATTCATCACAACACAAATATCAACATTTGAAAACCTTTATTAAAAATCGCACGAGTTCTTCAATGGTGTGTGTGTGTGTGTGACTGACTTTATTCTCTTTACTTAGATCTATTAAAACTTACACCCCACATTCATATGGAAAACGTCGCACAAAAAGACTGATTATTGTTATGTCTGAATAGGCAAAGTGTTCTCTTCACACATCACATCTAGTCATAAGGAAAGAGAATTTCGTTCTGAGTGCAAAGGCTATCTTTTCGATAATGTTGACTAAATCATAGATATTGTTCTATTATAGTTCAAATCGACTTATAAGCTAAAAAAAATTTTCCTATTACATTTACGTTTCTAACAGTAACAATGCAAATGTGAATTGTATATTATTTGAAAGAAAAAAAAAAGAGCAAAAGCATTGTTTCTGCTGATGTTTTAAATTCTAACTAGAATTCTGTATTATGGAAGAAAATTTTTAAAGAAGTTGTTGGTGTTCATTTTCTCTTCATTTACATCCTACACCCACAAAAGTAAGTATTTATAACATCGGTGACAAGAGTACACATCCTTCATCAAACCTGAGGATTTTTTGTGGAAATTGCACAGTTATTAGAAAAATTTTTAATACGAGTAAGGTATCAACATGATTTCCATTATTTATTTTTGGGCAAAATTCTCCATCCTTTAGTCAATTGATATTGCTAAATCTATCGTGACAGCACTTTTCTTGTTATTTTATCACTCTAGTATTTACATTTCAGTGATTTATCAATGCAGGCTCAAGTGAGTTGAGCTATGATATATAAGCATCAAAATAGTGCTTAAGGATGCAAAAAACCATAAATAAAACAAGACTTTTATTTGATTTGCGTAATGAACAAGCATTAAAAATTCGATGCACATGTATCAAAGACAAAATCTTTATTAAAATCATAATAATTTAGAGTTTGCTTTAGATATCTAGTATCGGAAGTCTTCATAGTTATCTATCGTTGTTAATCTCAATGTGTGTTAGTCACGCTGTAATACGGTGTTGAAATGACATGTTTTCAAGTTCATTAATTCTTCCTTGAAAATCTTTGACAATATATTTTTTAGCTTCTTGTTGTAACCATAATCTATTTGTATGGCATTTCATTATCTTTCTTAAAATTATTCCAGTTAGGATCACTCCAACAAATATTCCAAGAACAGCAAATATTAATATAATGAATATCAGTATTAGACCAGCATTTTTATCACAATCATGATTTCCATCGCAACTATTGCAATTCAGACATACACAATTATACGGATAACAAACACAATTAGGACAAGGATCATTATAACCAAGATCATAATTATTATTTTGCATCCATCCACAACAAAAACCAATTAAACCAAATAAGCCTAAGAAAGCCAAGAATAATATTAAACTGCTCAGGTAATAAATACCAAATGAGCTCATAGAATGCGGATATAAATTTTTAATTTTATTACTTTTTTTATCTGCGACTTGTAACAAAAATGTCATTCCAATAATGATTAATTGAACTAATAAAATAATCAATGTTATATCACGAGTCACTAATAAGCGAAACACTAGTAATCTTTTTCTATCAGCTGATAAATCATCTACCACCGGTTCAATAACATACTCAAATTGACAAACATCACAAAATTTAAAAGCTCTACCATGTTTATTTAATGATCTCCAATTATCTAAACATTTTCGATGCACATATGCTGATCCACCTCTGCATAAGCATGGGCTAATAAGGTCTTTCTGATCATCATTATCGAAACATATTCTACATAATTTTGAAGCATTTTGTATCAATGCAATATGTTCGTCCATTTGAGCCTTTAGTTAAAGTTGTCTGAAATATAAACAAATATATACATTTGAGAAGATTCTATCGAAACCTCAAATCTAGTTAAGATACTTGTTCGGTATAGTCTTGCTTTACTTCAGTATTTATCTTGCGATAAATGGATGACGATAACTACATTTACAACGTTCGATTTCGAAATAAATAAATTTATTTTATTGTATATTATTTTGCTTATCAAAATCGTATGTATCACATAGTGGTATATCTATTTAAGTTTTTCTTGCGGGAATAACATAGAATCGAGAGTATATGAATGTGGATTCTGATATACAAAATTGTAGAAAAATATAGCTATTACAATATAAAAATAATGAAAACAAGATCGAAATGCATAACATCATATATCCATAAAGCGCAATATGAGCACCTTATGATATGACGGATTTTATAAAGCGAAATTCTCTCTATAAGCCAATATGCAATACTTTTGACGATACTAGCAGATAGGGTGTCGTTTTAGGACAAAGATATTATCATAAATAATCATATAAGTATGTATATATAGTATATAAAGACTCATCAATTTTGTTATTCAATATCAAAAGAATATTGAAATAACGACTGGAAGAAAAAACTTTAGTATTCTTTATTTTTCGAATAAGAAACATTATTTGAAGTATCCGAATCAGAAGAAAAAAAGTAAGACATTGATAAGATGAACTTGGCTGTAAGTTCTAATCAGTGAACAACTTGAATAATAGCATATGAATTTTCTATACGAAGTAAACGCAGATATTTCACATCAGCTCGGATAGATAATAGAAAGAACTTTATACTTTGATGGTTCTACATAAAATATGAAGAAAAAAAGATGGAAGACATTCAGTTTATTTAAACGCCAAGTGACAGTCTAAAGAACGGTAAGAACAACAGAAAGTATATGCCAAAATACCCAATGTTTCTATCTAATTTTCATTTATCAATTCACAATCAGTTCGAGCGCGTACTTATTGCATTGTGTATGAGTAGGAAACGCAAAGAGAAAGTCTTCTTATTCTAGTAAATATTGATAAAACAGCTCGCAGATTTTATATATAGACTTATCAGTGTTCGTATGTAGATAGTGTACAAACACATCAGAACTCTGGTTGATTTCAGTGATGGATAATTGAGCCAATCGATGGGGAAATTATTCTCTTTTATGCAAAAAATGTTCACCCGATAAAAAGTCATATATATCAAGAAGAAATGGGAAAAAAAGAATACGAATATGTATCTGTTGAAGTCGATTTTAAAATTCAGTTGCCTTTAAAAAGGTAACTAAATTCTAAACTCAATCTGGACATATCTATCAATCACTATTCTATGAACTATATTTCTTTTTTTATTTCTGTTTATGACGGTAGAAATGGATGAATGATTTCTCTCTGTTGAGTATCCTATTTCCTATGATATAAATGATCTGAAGTAATGGATGTTGTTTCCTACACAAGCATTTCTGCTTGACTCTTTGAGGAGTGAAGAATTTCTGCTAGACATATAACAATTTTTCACTTTTGATGGATATTGTCTATATCTCAAGTCATCAGATCAAAAATATATATTTATTTTGATTTGTATCATGATCAACACTATCCCATTATTTGTTATTGAACATCTCAATTTCACTGAATAGTTTGTTATTCATTGCTCCTTTCATATATTATACTATTATCTATAGGGATGTTTTTATTTATCCTTAATTCATGAGATCAAGACATAGAAAATCTTTGTTTGTACAAAATAAAGTTAGACATCCTGCAATTTTGTAAAATAAAAATTAAGAGAATATTTAATTATTTTTTCTAAAGATAATTTTTTCATTTGTATACTTTAGTTTAAAAAGAAAGAACCCTGTATCTTTTAAATTACTCAATTAATATTCAAACGAAACACAATGTGGTACAATAATACAGAGTAGAATACGGATCTATGAGTATCGTACGTCAAAAACAGTAGAGTAAACAAATACTGTATAGAAATAATCATTCAAAACTCATTATTCACAGTTGAGTATCCGAATGTCACACTTAGATATTCAAATACTAGCATGAATAAGATTAATGGCCGATATCAATGATTTTGGCACCCGAACCCGCCATTTTTCAATGGCTATCCATCAAAAAGATGTCATTTTCGGTCAGAAAACTTCGAAAAACGGTAGACAGTTAGAAACAGAAATCCAGTAATCGAATTCAGTGGCAAGCTCTGCTCGATTTTCAAACTTCTGCTCTCAAACTCTTACCATTTTCTAGCCGAAAAATTGCTGTGCTTCTTTCATCTGAGGAATACACGCAGAATACTCTAGTGCTAGGGTGAGATATCCAAACAGACTATTAGGTCTACTTGCCATTTTTTTTCTTTAAACGTTGAAGAAAAGTTCACTTTTTGTATTGAAAATTACATTTTCCAAGATATAATGGATTACCTTCGATTATAGAAATTGAGAAATAAATTTCATCATTTTCGCTTAACATAATTAAGCCTAATAACAGAATATGACCATATTGTTCATTTATCTTTCATTTGTTTAGTATATTTATCGATTTCCATCAGTTACTGCTCAAGATTTTTAATTGCTTTTAGTACTGTCTTGTATAAATTATTACCTAATTCTTATCATTGACTCATTCATCAATACGTAGTCGTAAAATATCTGACTTCGATATCTCTTATTCTAATTAATTCAGGAAATATAGAATACTAATTAACAAATGAATTTGCAAATAATCACCAATGAATATTTTCAATAGACTAATTTAGAAAACGTAAAAAATTAGTTGAATTGAAATTTTTCATACCCTAAGAATATAAATGTTTATTTTGACTCATCATTTTATTATCTCTATCTGAATTTTTAAAAAAATCGATTGATTGTGCAGTTAAGTTTCGGATAATCTCTTAGTGAACAAAAAATAAAAAGAACACATACCACATGTTTACCTTTAATAAAAATAGCGTTTGAAGTTTTAACTGTTACAATTCATCGTTTCGCTCACTCTTCTGAAAAAAAAAACTCAAAGAAAAGAAAAGAAACGCGTCCATGTATGTTGGGCATATTCTGCAATGAATAATTGTGTTGACGCAAGTTTGTAATAGTGATAGGAAAGAACGAAAAAGGATTGCTTTCAATTCTTAATCACAAGTCGCAAGAAGGATGATTCATGTTTTAAAAGAAATACTCAAATGTACGTTCTTTGCATTAGCAATGCTTCAAAAGCACTAACAGTAAAACTATTCAATAGCTATTCGAAGAGAACAACATTTGGAAAAACGTATTTCAATGCCGAAAAAAAACAAATTTTATTGTTTACAATAAATATACCATAACGAAATTACAACTTCAACAAAAAATGTTGTCGAAGTCATTTTAGATCAAGTAAATATTAGATAATTATCGATTAATTGGCAATCTTGAAGTCAAAATATATATTTACAATTAGGTTTTCATTTTTAAAAGCATACATAACATCCTATTCAGACAATTCTAAGTTTATTAACTTATGATATAGGCCTCTACAATGTTGCTTTCTGATTTATTAAATGCTCAAGTATACGATTAGAACGGCTTCCACAATTAATTTTACTATAGGATTTGTTGCATTTTCTCTGTAAATGCCAGTGATCATTTTCACATAACACGTTAAAGCCAATAATATAGATAAGTCAGACACGTACCCAGTGAAAAATTTTAAGGATTTAATCAGAATTTTTTTACACCAAAATCAAAATTAAAATCGATTGAAATCTTCGATTATAATCGACTATAATTGAATCAAAACTTGATTCTATTGCTTATATAGTGAAAATTTTCCCGATTAAAATCTGATTATTCTGCAGAAAAATCATAATTATAATCGGATTCGTAATTTCGATTTTGCTGCAGAATAATCAGATTTTAATCGGGAAGATTTTCACTATATACGCAATAGAATCAAGTTTTGATTCAATCATAGTCGATTATAATCGAAGATATCAATCGATTTTAATTTTGATTTTGGTGTAAAATAATTCTGATTAAATCCTTAAAAATTTTTCACTGGGTAGCTCAGTGTGAAAGCGAACACAACATACATATATGAAAAACTAGCTTATAATGCAGAATAGTTCCTCTCGACTGTGATTTTTCTTTTGGTACAGTCAAAATATATTATATCCTACGAAAGAAAAATCTGAGTGTTTGAATGTAATCTATAAATCTCATTCATATTGAAATGAAGCATCAATAACGCTAAAGTGTGAAAAACATTCAAGTGAAATCTTTGTTTTGCATTCTGGTTTGTTTCAGATCGCAGTATTCTGGATCTAGTCGAGAGTTCTACCAGAGTAAGAATAAAACTTTCATAGGCTGGAAAACTTGTGAACAGGTTTTCCATCAATGAAAACTATATTTAAGTCCATTCTTTCAGAGTATTAGTAAAATTCGCTCTAACTCACTTTAACAGCCATTCAAACTCGAAGATATCACAAATCGATATAGTTTCGAATTCTACAGTCATGAGATCGACTACAAGCAGTTTTTTTTTATCAAAGGTTTTTAAATAAAATGGCTTGGAGTAGAGTTTCATGGATGTAGAATTCAAAGCTTTATCAATTGATAATATCTTTGTATTAAACGGTAGTTGTAGTGGATTAAAGTGTGTTTTACTAATATCCATCGAAGAATGAATAATCTTGGTTTATTGTGGGAATGAAAAATGTGTAATAGAATGTGATAATTACAATACAATTTCTAACACATTTTGTTAGAATTTCAATAAAAATGAATTAATATTTCATCAAAAAATTAGAATATGCTGTTTTAAGAATAAAAAGGAAAAAAATAAACAAAAATAAATTTTCTAATTTAAACAAATTTTATATTTAGCACGAAAAGGCAGAAAAACAAAATTTTTTATGCAAGGGTCTGTAGGTTTTTCTCATAAAAATTGTCTGGTACTTATATTAGGCATTTCTTGTTATTGGATCTAATGTCACGCAATGAATCTTTCATTAAAAAAATTTGCATTTTCTGCCGATTAGTGCGGCATATTAAAGTTGTATAAATTAGAAAGAGTAAGGGTGTGAATGTGCAGGTGCTTCTTTTACTCACACCCACACCAACTCGAGATTAATGACAAACGACTATCATCCAACAGTTATAAATAATCATACGAAGACATTAGTACTTAAGTGAGCCAAACAAAAATCAACTTTCATTTTTGAAACGAAATATTTCGATGTTGTAGTTGGTGATTTAAAATGTTCTGTTTTGCCGTTATTGTCATTAAAATTGGTCAAGAAAATCTAGTGTGTTTAAGTGACTGAATTCTCTTACAATGAATAATTTTAGTGATATGTCAAATGTTTTCATTGAAAAATTTCTGAAGTACTTTTTAAGACAAAAAGATATACTTGAGTAATATAAGTATACGAATCAAGCCATCTGTTGAGTCCTCTTATGCAGAGGACGACAAACATCATGGCAGTTCTTGCTCATCGTTTCATCATTTGTCATCCTTAAGATAAAGAACTTTTGTCTAAGAGTGGAACACACAACTCGTAGATTCAATCAGATACCATCTACTATCTATTTAGATACATGTAGACTTGGAAAAGCCACTTGATGAAATTCTTAGCCAAGTCGCAAGCGTAGTAGTAGCTACTTATTTCTTTACTTACTTCACTTTCATCCCACATGGCGAGTGCTTACCAACATATGCACCCTTTGTTTGCATAGATTGACTGCTTCTAATCTGTGAATACGAACAAAATAAAACTGTAGTAAAATTGCCTTAAATTTTCAGTTAATTATAAAATTGACAATTTTATGGAGGTGGGGGTTGGCGATGCTCTGCTCTTTACCAACACATCCACATCTATCCTCAACGTAGTTATTAGGTAACGCTCGTTTGGATTCGAATCAATTTTGCTTATATATGACAACATCGACTCACAATTGGATTGGTTTGGTTAAGATAGAGAAAAAAGAAGAAAATTTTCTGAATTTGAACAGTCTAATTCTTGATGCCTACTTATTTCATCTTCGCCTCAATTAGTGACTTGTTTTTAAAAAAGTGAATGCATTTTCTAGTGTAAATCTGATAATCAAAACTAGTTTACAACGTTCATCAACTCAATGAAATATTTATCTGTATTTGGTTTTTCTATGCCACACGTCATGAACGTATCAGTTGGAGTTATCATTGATACAATTCTTGATTCTTTGACATTGATTTTTTTAACTAAGGTCGACTGGAAAGACAGTTATACATGTTGTCGGCTTTTGGAGTATACTTTAGAGAAATAGAAACTCTGAAATAAATAGTTAAAGTCGAAAAGTTTTTTCTTCTTGTTTCATTCAGGTAACTTAATGGGAAAATCGTAACATGCGACAGATTGGTTATCGAAAACGTTTTCAGTATTGTACATCTTCAACTCCATGACGTATGTTTCATTATAGCGATTCTTAACATAGTTTACATTTATTATAAAAAAAACTACTTTACAGGAGTAACTGAAGAAAATTTTTCGAATGACCAAAAAATGATAAAAAAAAGGTACATTGATTTCTTGATTTAGTCATAGATGACGTTACACTTATATCCATTAAAACGTTGTCTTTGGAGAGCATCAAGAGCAATACCCAACACACAACATTTTTCATTGTTGCATAGATGCGATTCGTACCACCATTGCGACTCAGTTAATAAGCCAGGATGATCATTTGTAACACGCATCATTAGTCCAGTGCAAACAATAGAAGAATTTGGATCATTAAAATCTACAATCTTTTTATTTTGATTATTGATAATCCATTCGATAATATTATTGTTAATATTGAAATCAATAATCGTGTTTTGAGCATCTAATGTCTCCGGTGCTACTTTTCTAATATTACTCGGATGAACACGACATTCTAATACAAATTGTACATATTTACCCGACTTGAAAAATTTACTACCATATGATGCATCAATTAGCTTAACTTCAGCATATCTTGGATGACATGCATAATTAATAGATGGAGAAACATATATTCCGGCACCATGTTCGTCGTTTTCTGCCGGTTTTAATCCACTCAATAAAATAGATAAACCATATGCGAATTTTGTACCATGATAACATATACACCATCCTTTAAATTTCTCATAGAATCGATCAGTGACATAAAAAGAACATCGCGTCCATCCAACAGGACAATAGTAGGGCTTATTTCCACGATCGATTCCATCTTTAAGAGCATCTAACCAATAAGTATGACCAGGTGCATATATATGATTATATTGAGGATTAAGTTTAATTTCAGCACGATATTTTTGCTGATTTAATAATGATTTTATTGAACCCATAAACATGAAGAAAACCTTCATTTTACCTAATTCTTCTCGTATTTTATTCGTAATTGATTTACATATCATTTTTAAAGATAATTTTTTATCATTCGATTCAAACTTATTGAATATTTCTGCTTCTACTATGCATGAACCTACTTGTATTTTTTTGACCAGTATATCTTTCATCGTTAAATTTATTTTACCACAAAATTTAGTAAAAAAGTCTTGTAAGTCAAATTGATTACAATCTTCATCGATACAAAGTTTTAGTGACGATGTTGGCAATTCAGTATTATTGTCAAAAACTTCTTCCGGGACTGATATTAATGGTTGCCTTGTTAGATGATAATATTCTTTACATTCTTGGTAATAGACTTTTTCCTCCGGTAACAACGGTTGTTTCGACAGAAAATCTTTTGTACGTAGAGTGGTATCTGCTTTTAAAAAAAGAATGTTAGAATTATTAGAAAAATAATGCTTCAAAACTCATTGTTCTTTATCTTCGATCTAGCGACAAAACTAACAAAATATCTTGCAATAAAACTAAAATGTTAAATAGGAACATTTTGTTTTTTTGAATCTACGAAATAAGTCACGAGTTGATCGTTCATATTGTTTTATGCTTGATTTTCTACTTATTTGATATTTCTTTCGTGAAAAAACTTCCGATCAAGAGATTCTATAAGACTTGATCAAAGTTTTTTCCTACGTCCACGGAAAAATGCGTTGTAGTATTTTAACCGTAGCCTTAGCAAACGCCAATTAGCCCGACATAGAAATTTGCCATGATTGTCCACGATTCAGCTTGAAATCGTCAAAAACTATCATTAAAATTTTCATCATCAAAACGATGAACTGTCATATTATTTCGAGTAGGGCTCCAAGCTGAAAATATAAGCAAGAGTTTGAATAAATACTTCAATAGAGTCTTTTCTATAGCTTGTTGGAGTGTGAGTGTTGGTAAACAAAAACCTCACAAGAATGCTTACACCTACACCACACTACACCCCGCACACTATCTAAAACAGGCCGCTTTTAAACAAGTTTTGAATGTTTTGCCGTTATTCATTAGTTGCCTCTAAGTCAACATCATCCAGATGTCATGTGACAAAGATTGCTTACGCCTCAACTACGCCCTCTTTACTCTATTCTGACAGCAGTTCTAACCTGTTCATTTTAAGAAAAAAAAATTCTATATCTTATGCTAAAGTTTTTCCGAGCAAATTTTCAAGTGATTATCAATAACGATTGTGTCATCTACTGGGTGTGAGTAGCTGACCTACACCCTCAGCCTTCTTAGCTCCAAAAACAAAACAGTAAATTGAAATTTACTTCTCCAGTAGATCATTAAAGGATCAATCGTGAACAAACTTATTTCTCGAGTCAGTTAAATAAGGAGAAACAGTATTTTACAAAAAATGATAAAATGCCATTTTTTTACGTACATCAGACTGTATGTCAGGATGGAGAGAGCCATAAACAGAAACATTTTTAGAGTTCTTTTAGTCTCATTGAAACCTACTTACAGCCATTACTAAGTTAGCACGTAGGAGACAATAGTTTCACAAATGTTTCAGAAAGATACATAGACAATTATGATTTATTTTCCGCTTCAAAATCAGATTCTTCCAGTCTGAAGAAATTCCAAAACAGTCTCGTAGACTTCTCTTACGTGAAACTCGCGAAATTGTTTTTCTATTTTTGATTATCTGTATAGGCCAAAACAGCAACTGATCCTTCGAAAGACAATTCTGGAACACAATAGTTTCTTGTATTCTGTCTCATTTCTAATAAAAAAGAATAGTTCAGACGACCAAAGTACTTTTGAAAATTCCAAATGCTCCAGAAGTGCATTAAGAACTTGGTTTTCTTCGTCGTTTGTATTTCGTCTACTTAAAACAATGTTCGAGCTCATAATTTAAATTCAATTACTAGCACGTCTATAAAATTTGCAAGCAAAGCTTCGAATTAACAATGTTTCTAAAAGAGGGAACAGAGTGAGCAATTTTAACATTACAACATAGCTTTTTTTTCTATTTCGCAAGTATACCTGTTACTAAGGAAAATATGCTAGATAGCATCATTTGACTCCCATGGTCAATGTTTCATGGTACTTGTGTCTAGCTTACCTACGGCAGGCGCGATCACTTCATTGAAATAAACTTGTGGATGTCGATTTAATCCGTTCATACATAGCGGTCTTTGTGTACGATTACTTTCTCGATGCACATTGTTGGCTACGTCTTGAAGAACACTAGTGATATCGACATTTTCTCGAGTAATATTCCTTAATAAGTGTTTGGTAAAAATGCAATTTCGACTTGTTTCCCGAACGCCATTGTCTCCTTGATTAACAGCACATGCAATTTGGATAAATGCTCCTGGAAGTGGCTCAATTTCGTACAGACCCTTGCTTTCGATCATTGCTACAGAGATATTAACTTTACTTTCAAAATTAATAAAGTATTTCACTTACGAGCTGATGCTGATCGGCTTTGCATCTTGTATGGTATACAGCAGTCCAAGATAATTATAGTGGCGTACGAAGGGTTTCTCTCTACTAATCGCGCTACTGTTCGTTCAACATTAACTGAAAAGTCATCGATATCTCTGTCAGTTTCTAGTGTAGTACCATCAACAGGTATCAGATAGTTTCTGCCATTAGCCTGACAACCATGACCAGAAAAGTAGAATAAGATCAAGTCACCGTCACTGATCATTTTAGAAAAGTTAATGATATGTGTGATCATCTCTTGCTGTGGCAAATCATATAGTGTTGTCACATTGAAATTTATTTTCTTGAGCAAACCACTCAGATCATTTGCGTTATTGATAGAATGATTCAGTTTGTTGTATGATTTACCGTAGTTGTCATTGCCAATAATCAATGCAAGCTTTCGGTGACGAGATGACTTCACGTGGGCAGTTGCCATTTTTTATTGAAATCTGAAATATCAAATATAGAACAGTCTTTTCATTTTGAAATCAATAGAAGATTGCTGAAGGGAAGACAATCATCTCTAGCGATAGTTCAATGCTCGTACTCAAGATTCATAATTCTGAGGGTGTGGGTGTGGGTGTGAGAGTGGACTCTGAGAAGACTCTTATCTACACGTACATCAAGATCTAGGCCTACACCAACACCCACACCCTGAACAGCTTAAAAATTGAACTATATATTTCATTACCGATGCTCCGCAGTAGTCGTTCTAATGCCGATTCTTAATTAAAAGTTTACCGGGAACATGAATGTGTGATTTGCTTGACTACGGCATCATTGCATGTCTTACTATTTCAAGTGATTGATTGATTTGTTTTCGAAACCGTTGTTGTATGCCATCCTTATAGGAGAAAAGAAACATACTTTTTCTCGCTTTTTTTATTATAATGTTTGCTCTTATTTGGCATCGATACTTGTCTGCAGGTTTGGTAGAAGGAATGAATTTTATTCATTTCGACTTGCAAAAGAGAGAGTAAAACACACAAATCAGCTATACCTTTTGTTTAGATTTGATTTTTTTTGTCAGAAGCAAATCAACGCTACTAGGTAAAAATCAAAATATCAATCATCGTCTGTGTCTATCGTAATGTAAGTCATTTTGATGCTATAATCTATTTCACCTAAACCGGAATAGGATGAATGTGACGACACATAACCAAATATGACGAAGTAGATTCATTTGCATTATTTGTAATTTAATGAAAGGTTGGATCATGGGCCTTATTCTTTTTAGTCTCCTGAGAAAAATAAGTTCGTGAATATGGGTATGGTTCAAAAGGGCACACACGTCATCCCACTGACAGCTTTCACTCATACCTACATTCTTTCTTTCAAATAGTTCCTTTATTGCTTACTTCTCACCATTGTTCTCTTGCATGCTACTCCGCTGAAAGACTCGATACTGTAAGTTTCATAAAAATGCAAACAAAAAGTTTTTTCACCCTATACACCTGGCAGAGGGTGCCTGTGTGGGCATTGACTGTTCTTATATCCCCATTGTCACGGCGACAACCACAGCTAAACCGACAACTACACAAACACAAAGCCACATTATAGCTATTCTCATGCCTATATCTGCACTTACACACTTTTGTCGATTGCAAAACCGTATTTCACGAACCTAGTAAATTTCTATAAAGTTTGACCAAAGTAAATCGTTGTCGAGGAATCCAAATCTGTAATCAATTTCTCAAAACTTGTCAGTTCGATTTCTCACTAAGAGTAAGGCATTTCGAGGAAATAATATTTTTTTGTGAAATCTTTTGTCGTGTCTTTTTTAAGAAACTGCGTCGCAATTTGATCGTAAACGAAAACATGGAATACGATCTGAAAGAAGCGTTGAAGCATATATGATAGAAATGTGTGATCCTTACTCATAGACCATGGCAGATGTTGCTAATATACGATCTAAGATCGTATATCAATAGCTGCTCATTACAATCTATATATATAATGTTCAGAGTGTGTCTGTCTGTCTGTCTGTTTGTTTGGATGCAAGTTAAAGGTGAAGAGTCAAGGATTAAAGGTCGGAGTTTTGGTTGGGAGGGAGCCAGTGTAGGGCACCGTGGAGTGAGAGTGGTTGGGTGAGAACTAGTGTAGAGCGTGGAGTAAAGGTGTTGGATGAAGGTGTGATATGGAGGTGAGTTGGGCGGTGTTGAGATGAAGGAGTGAGAGAGTGTGCTGTGTGACTGAAGGAAGTGTAGTTAGGGAATGAAGGGATGTTAATGGTTTTGTTGAGCGATAGTGGGTGTACGTATAGTTTTGGGTATGGGTGGGTGAGGTTACGATTGTACTGGATGTCATGCGGTAGCATCCACACCCCACCCCGAAACAAGCATATTTTGGTCCTGATTTTTCACATTGTTTTACTTTAATATTCGTCTGACCTCAAAACTCAGAAAGTCTGTATACGTCAAAATAATGGTATTTTAAGTGCGTTACCAGGTTCATCTAATTCAAGAAAAATGAACTCAATCTATTAAATTGTTTTCAAAGAAGTCGAGAATATAACGGTTAGTGATCAGCTTAATATTGAAAAGGAGCACATAATTTACGGATCTGTTGAAAGCAATTTGAACGAAAAATTCACTCTTCTTTTGAACTAGACACTTAAAACCGAAAAGAAAAGTTTTCTTCGACCATCAAAACTACATGATTTCTTAGAATGTTTTTGAAGAATCGAAGTCGAAGGCTGAAAGGAATAAGATACTTTAAGCAATTTCTTTTGCCTATTTCAAAGCCTGGAACGAAAACACATGTTTTCATGAAAAATGGGAGTGTAAACTGTGACATGGTGTCAGATTTCTTCCTATTTTACACTGATTTAGCATCTTACTAGATGAAGATAGTCGAAATAAAATTCACTAAACGATAAATAGATACCGGATGAATGCAAATTACATTTCGCATACTTTCAAGATCGTTTTTTTATTTCTTGCAATGATGATTTAAAACACGTTTTCGTTTTCATTAACAGAACAAACGATGGAATATCAGAATTATGAATCTAGAGTACTAGCATTGAGCCGTCGGCAGAGATGATCGCTTTCCTTCCGCTCAAAGATCTTCTATCGATTTCGAAATGTAAAGACTGTTTTAAATTTACTATTTCAGATCTCGATAAGAAATAGCATTTGTACAGATGAATTCATCGACTCGTCAAAAGTTAGCGCTGATCATTGGCAACGACCACTACAAGAAATCAGACAATGAACTGAATCATTCTATCAACAACGCAAATTATTTGAGTAGTTTGCTCAAGAAAATCAATTTCGATGTCACGAAACATATCGATGCCGATTCAAAAATGATGGTGCTAGTAGAATGTTTCTGCAACCAAATAAAAGATGGCGACTTGACTTTATTTTACTTTTCTGGTTATGGTTGTCGGGTCAATGGTAAAAACTATTTGATACCTGTTGATGATTCTTGTATAAACGCTGAAAGAGATGTGGAAGATATAGGTATCCAAGTGAAACATATACTAGAGCGACTTGTGGATAAAATTCATCCGTACGCCACTATATTTATCTTGGACTGCTGTGTACCATACAAACTGAGCAATCCGTCAACATTTGGTCGTAAGTGACACAATATACGACTTTCTAAATCGAAATTCATATATCTGTAGGTATGATCGAAGGCGAACTCCTGAGTGAAATTCGACCATTCTCTGGAGCATTTATCCAGTTTATATGTGCTACTAATCAAGAAGTCAGAGATGTTCGGGAAATAAATCAGAACTGCTTATTTGCCGAACACTTATTTAGCAAGATCACCCGAAAAAATGTCAATGTCATTAATATTTTTCAAGACGTAGCCACTGATGTGTACCGGGAAAGTAATCGAACTCAGCAAACACTATTTATGAGCGGATTACTTGATTGTGGCAAAGTCTTTCTCAATAGAGTTTCGAAGAGTACGTATAAAACAAAATTGAATTTTTGGTTTATTAGATTACATGTTTATGTTCATCGAGTTATAGTTATTGATACAAAGTCTTGAGCGTGTCAATATTGCGATTTTCATTGATTTCAATATCGAAATAAACTTTATATATTCTATTCTACCTTCAATTTTGAGTAAGCCAATGGTTAGATTCTCCATTCGGCAACATTTCTTTTTCCTCATTCTATTTCTCTGAATTGAGGACACGCTCTCGACTAGGAATCAATTACTCTTTGAAAATGAATTTCTAATTAAAGTAGAAAGTCATCTTCCTTCTTCATCGATCATATGTTTCTCTCGTTGCAGTTATACCGAATATTCCAGAAAATGCTACATGTAAATGTAATGCTAAGACTGTCGCTGGTGATGATCATCGTGGTGCTACACTCAAAAGACTTCATTGTCCTAGAGGCATTTTTGTGGATAAAAATCAAAGTGTTTTCGTTGCTGATAGTTTGAATCATCGTATTATGAAATTTTCTCGAAGTACAACTATTGCTCGAACGATAGCCGGTAAGAACATATCTGAATATGGTCCTGATTTTTTGTGCGAACCTTCAAATGTGATTTACGACCATAAGGCAAAGAGTTTTATTATTTCTGACTATAATAATCGACGAGTATTGCGATTGTTTCAAAAACGTGGCGCATGTCCAGAGGCAATCATTAGAGGCAGCGGATATTATGGGTTAGCTATGGATGATGAAGATTTTCTCTATGTTTCTGATACCGAACAGCATGAAGTTAGACGATATCGGTCAGACGGCCGCCATGGAAAAGTCGTAGCAGGTGGCAATGGACAGGGTAGCAATCGCAATCAACTCAACCATCCGACATACATTTTTGTTGGACCAGATCAAGCTGTGTATGTGTCGGATACTTGGAATGATCGCGTAGTAAAATGGGACAAGGATGCAACAAGTGGTGTTGTCGTGGCTGGTGGTCATGGCAAAGGAAAAGATGGCGCACAATTGCATTATCCTACAGGATTGGTCATCGATCAGTTGGGCACAATCTATGTAGCTGACTATTGGAACCATCGAGTCATGCAATGGTCCAAGGGTGCCTCACACGGAAAAATGATTGCGGGCAATAGATTCTTTGCAGGACACAAGGCAAATCAATTAAATGGTCCCGAAGGTTTGGCATTCGACGGATCTGGTAATCTTTATGTAGCTGATTCAAATAATCATCGAATCCAACGATTTCTTATTCAGACTGTTTGATATTCTTTTNGTTTTTGAAAACTTCATGTTTGAAATTTTTTTCAGAGGAAAAGTCGTTTTCAAAACTTAAGAAATATTGTTTCCTAGGTAAGACGCTATGCTCTATCCAACCATATATAAAAATCGAGAAAAAAAAATCTTGCTGTAATTTTGACTTGCGGGCGCCTTACCATATGTAAATAGATATTTTTAAAAACAAGTGTAGTAAAATGAACTAATTTAATACGCTCGAAAAGAACTTAGGAAGAACGTATGTATAAGAAATAAGACAAAAAAGAAAAATTTCAATAATAAATTTGATTAGAATAAAATCAATTAGAATGCATCAACAAGAGAAATACGAGCAAATTTTCAAAAATCTTGCAATAAATAAGCAAAGTATGTTCTTATTACTTTCCAGAGTACTATCACATTACTTGATTTTTTTCTAATCAAGTAAGAAATAGAGTATTAGTTGAAAGTCGTATAAGGTACATTCGGTATTTCGTTTTTGCTCAAGGTTCTCATCTTTCAATTCATATATTCATAGCGACATCTATTATAAATATTTCTCAATCATATCGAATAAACAACAATCTAAATAAATCATAATAAATCTATGAAATGATTTTATGAAAGAAATTATTTGTTCTTGCCAATAATAGAGTTTAATTAAAGTTAATTATGGCTATTTTTTATTGATTGGTTATTACTCTGATTCCCTTTACTATAAGAAATTCTTCGTTTCTTTTCCTTTTAATCAATTAAGCTTATTGTGTATGTTTTATTTCAATTGACTCATTACATTATCAATAAAGTGTCAAATAAATGAGCATACGATATGATATAAACAATTGATCAGTTATCAAATTTAAATGAATTAAATGGCTGATATAAATAAAATTGTTTCATCATTAACAATCAATGATGAAATAAAGGTATATTAAATTTTTATTTTTAGAAAAAAACTAAAGAATTCTTCTTTTAGAATAATACTTCAAATTATATAAATAATGACAAAATTGATGATAATGATGAACAACATATGCAATCAAAAATAATTAAATGTAAAACAAATAATCAACAAAATCAACTATCATCATATAATATTTTAACATCAAATGGTACATCATCAACAACAATACGTTCAATTGATGTACCAAATGAACATGCATCAATTAAATTACATATACGACGTGTGTGTTCACCATCATCATCAACAGAAACATTATCAATAAATCCAACAACAAATCTTTTATATCAAACTAATGAACAATCAGCAACAAAAATAATATCAAGACAATTTTTTAATACAAATTCAGAACCAAATAATAAAACATCAACAAATAATTTATCACGTCGAATAATAACAACTCGACGTACATCATTAATTGAAAGTGATTTATCACATATAAATTCAACAAATTATGATCATTCGAAAACAATTATGAATATATATGATGAAAATACATTAAAAAAACAAACAACAACAACAAAAATAAATGGATATAAACGAAAATTACAAAATGATCAACAAGAAAAAAAACGACAAAAATTAACAACTAAAACCACTAAACAACAAACAAATAATATAAGTACGTTTAAGCCTTTTTTTTTTCTATTTCAATAATCTGAAAGAAGTGTTCTATTATTGAATACAAATATATGTCAAACAAGAACATACAGTTACATTCTATTTATGATAATTTAAACTCATAGAATTACAAAATCCTTCAGATATTCGATACATGATTAAGCGGGAAAGAATGACATAGAGTTATATTCCTATATTAACATTATTGGGATTCAAAAAACAGAAAAACCTTATTATTAATGAGTGTGTCTTGGAACTTTTCTTTTCGACAAGGTCGCTACACTTTGCAGAGACAGTCTTAGCATCTAAACAAAAAAAAACACATCATGTCAAACATTATTATTTGAGTAAAATGAGAACATTTGTTTTGCACAATTTCTTCTCTTCGTCGACTCTGTAAGATATCGATCAGCAGCTTCCGGAAGTTATTATTGTTTTTTTCAGGCTGTTTCTACACATCTCGTTATCAATCTTATCATCAAACGAAAAGAGTTAGGCCGTAGGCAATTACCTAATTGAGGGTAAGGGCTGCATAATGATTTTCGTTTAGTACAATTAAAATATATTATATACTATCAATAGATAAATCCGATGGATTAAATCAATCCCAAACAAAAAAAAAGAAATTCCGATAGTCCTTCATGGCGATTAAGAAAGTTGAAATTTAACAAAAAAAGAAAAAAAAATCATTGATTGCACTGAATTATTTACAAAAGATTAATTATTATAAATAATTTTGATCAATTAAAAATTTTAATCTATTGGAATTTATGTAGAACATAGCAAATGTACTAGTGAAGGTATTTTAATTCCTTATTAAAAGCTTAAAAAAACAGTTTTCTCTAATATTTGATCATTCTTCAACTAATATCATAATAAAAAAGAATTTTGATAAGAACTATTTTTACTATGATATATGTCGGTAATATTAGATCATATAATGTATCTTCGTTGTGTATCTTCTTCTTGATATTCTCTTTGCTGTTCTACTTTCTCGTCTTCTCTAATGCCTAGTCGTGTATACATATTAGAATGTAGTGCAAAAAAACAAATACAACAACAACACCATCGAGTTTTTACTTGAGTAATTCTCCAAATTTGGCACCATATGATTTTTGGTTGTTCTACTTCATCAAACAAAATCAAAGCGATTACAAATTGTTATATCATACAATTTCATAGAACTCTTTGAATGAAGAAAGGTATTTAAAAAAAAAAAGGACGTTTAATAAATTAATTCAATGAATGGAGTTGAGTGTAAATAACCAGAAAAATTATTGTAAATATTTAATAAAATAAAACTTTGATCGAGTTTTTTTTTTTTTTTCGTCTGTTGTTTTATTTTGTTCTATCACTACCACTTTTTCTATACTCTTATATGTATAGACAGCTGGACATTAGAGGATGCAAGAATATCAAGAAGAGAATACATATCGAAGACAAAAGCTGTTAACACAATCCCTGAAGGATTAAATGTGAAACATCATATAGCTTCTGTTACTAATCACGAGAAGATTGTTTTATTCTATCTGTTTCGGGACACATTTCTTCATATATCATTTTACTTAATCCTTCAAAAATGCAATAAGGAAGTAGTTCATTTATTATAATGAGACATTATTGATTTAAGGTCTTTGATCATTTATCAATAACATCTGTGACACGGAGATGGGAAGAACGTTACTAAGGTGTCTGTCACAGTTCGTGATATGTTATCGCTAACGAGAGAACCTATCCAGGTGTTAAATTGTTTTTTTTGACTGAGGGCATATTCATTTGATGAGTAATAAAACAGTCTAGTATTATTTTGTTGTCCTGGTCTTCATTCCATTCTTGAGATATATAGATTTTACTGAGTTTTTCAACAAAAAGCTACAAGTTGGATTTTTTTTCTGAAAAAGTAGATATTTGAACAAAACTTGCTTTTCACATAAGAGAATATTGAATATTTCAGGATACGAGACATTACTCATCAAATAAACATTCTCTCAGTTGAAAAGTGATTTAACATCTAGAGAGATTCTCTCGTGAGATGTCTGTATCAAAGCAACATTTACATGAAAAAGAAAAAGTGGAGTAACATCCTCAAATCTCTGATTGAATTGAAACTTTTTTCACAGAGACTATACATTATTGCGGATGGGTAGTTTCTTTTTGTGTACTCAAAAAGTGAGTACACTCTAGAATCGGTCAGTGTGTCCGTCCGTCCGTCCGTCCGTTTACACGATAACTTTTGAAAGGAGAGTCAGATCGCGATGACATTTTCTACACAGTTCAGTCTTAACAAGATCTTAGTCGAGTTCGAAGATGAGAAGGATTGGTCGAGCCCTTCCTGAGTTATTGCAAAAATACTCATTTTTCCCTATACCTTCCCTATGGAAAGATCGACCTTTTCCCGCTTTCGTAAACAACTTTTCCTATCATAGTCAACTAAAACCTCAACTATTATATACCATTCGATAGAGAATTTCAAGAGCTACAAAATGGTATATAAAACATAAAGAAACACGAAGGCTAACTCACCTATTGGCAAGATAATCAGACGGAAATAGGTTCTGTTTTCGTCCATGCTCTGGTGGATCCGAAAATGGAGCTCTACCTTCCGATCACGGACATGATACTTCGAGGTTTTTTGGGGCGGAGAACTCGAATCTGTCATTCATTCGCCTTGAAATACCATTGGTTGAGCAGGGACCAATAGAAATCAAGTTATAGGAAAAACGACTTTCTTAGGGTAAATCAAGACGAAGAGTTCAAATCTGAGCTGTATTCATCCCCAAATCCTATTGGTTGAGAGTAGCCAATAGAAATCAAGTATTTTATAGAAAAGGTTTGCCAGGATAATTTTGATATCCACACATTCTAGGATGACTCATCTGTCTCATTCACTTTTTGAAGTACACATAACTCTCGGATTTAAATCCGAAGTTTTCGCATTTATTTTTATTCAATTTTACTGTGAACAAAAAGTAAACAAGATAATCATTCTAAATAGTGCCTGTGACGAGGATGGAGAGAAACAATTTGCATCCCAGAATTTCATAAAAGCGAAAATATTCAGAATAAGATTAAAACGCTTTTAGCCTAAATAGATTCATTCGTGATTTCAATCATGTCAACTTTGTTTTCTTCATTGTTCTATCCTAAACGATCGAAATTTTTATTTAAATGATATTTTTTTTCTAAAGAATCTTCAAATACAATTGTTCAAACTCGTTCATCTTCACGTTTAAAACAAAAACATCAGCCAATTAATGAACATCGTTCATCAACTATAAAACGTCGTTTAAGTACAGAACTTCAAACAGTATCAACATCAACCGATGATATCTCAACTCATGAATATAAACATCTTTATACACCGTCATCATCATCATCATCATCATCATTATTATTATCAAAACAACAAACAACGCATGAATGTCAAACAACAGATGATATTATTGAAATATTTCATAAACCAATTCAAACAAATTATTTAATTAAATCAGATAAATCAACATATACAGATTTTATTGATCAACCATATTGTGAAAATAGTACACAAACAATACAAAAAGATGAACAAGAAACTCAAACAATTGATCTTAATTGTCCAAATGATTCTCAAGTTTATTTATGTCAAACAACAACAAGTCAAATACAATGTGATGGTATATCAAGATCAATATCATCATCACCTATAACATCACCTGTTATTATAAATCAAACAAATGAGTATCAACAACAACGAATAACGTCTCCTTATATAGATTTATCATTAACAAATAGTAATAATGATCGTTCACAATTATTTCAAAGTCTTATTCATACAGAAGAACATCCAAATGGTGGTGCAAGTCTTATACGTACATATTATAATGAATTTATACGTTTATCAAATGAAAATGCTCATTTATTTGTTAATTATTTTTTTAATCTTGTTTATGGTGAAGTTAATCAACGTGCTAAATATGCTATTGGTGTTGTACATGATGGTGCAAGATATTTACCTGATTTACTTGATTATTTTAGTTTAACATATCCAAAAATGATTGTTAAAACAACAAATATATTTAATTCAAAAGAAGTTATAACAACAACTATGGGAGAATATAGAAATCGTATTGTACAAACTTATTCAAATGGAACATTTCGTTATGGACCATTAATGAGTATATCATTAGTTGGTACAGTTCCTGGAAAAGAAGAATGTGGTAAGATAGAATATATTAAAATATCTTCTATAGATCATTATTAGAGAAAACATACATAAGAATTTTCACTCAGCGATAGAGTACAATCAGAGTCTATTATGCATTTTGAAATATAATATGCTCTACTGTTTGTTTGTTTCTTTCTTTTGAATAACTTTTGATAGGAACATGATAGAGATTGGTAGTTTTTATCATTCAAGAGAGAGAATTCAAAGACATCAAAGTATATAGAAATTTGATTGGTTAGCAATCGATCAATTAGATGAGTTCTTCGAAAACGATATTTTGGGACTATTTTCTCTTTCGATGTAAGGAAGGCCAACATTCCTAGCTTATTGTGTTCAAGAGTTTTTTTTGAGAACTCTAATTTCAGTCAATTAATCTGTAATTATCTGGAGAAGCAACTAGGTATGGGTAATTCATCATACTGAGTCGAATGATGAGATTTGTTTTTAGGTTCAAAATGATCTAACACTGTTATATAGATCGAAAGAAAAATAGTTTTAGAATATTGTTTCCGAAAATCTTCACCAAAAACTCGTTCTGATTAGTCATTTGGAAAAATTCTATTTTCATTTATAATAATCTCATAGAAGACTTTAGTTCCGTGACTAGTGAGGAGAATCTCCTAATTGATAAACTACGGAATCGTTAAGAAGAGTTCCGATCATTAGTTTATTGCTATGGATACACTGCATTTTTACCATATTTTTCAATTCGATACGTAGTGCGCTTCAGAGATATCACAAAGACTGATTTTCCAATTTCAGTCTGAACTTTTGCATGGAAACAAATCGTCTATTGTCAAAGTTTCAAGTTAAAATTCGAAAATCATTTTTCTTAGTGTTATTGAAGGAAAATTCCATGGCATGAACTTGAAAAATATAGTTAAAACGCATTGTCTTCATAATAATAAGCTACAGACTCAAACTCTTCTTAAGATATTCGTCGCTCATTAGAGTCTACATGATACACATAATTTCGAACCAAAAAGCAGTTAATCAGTTGGACAACTTCTCTCATTAGTCTGCCACAGAATGCAGTTAATAAGAGCGTTTTTAAAGTATCTTTTATGATCTTTGATGTAGAATTCGCCTTATAAGATAGAAATTTCCTCGAATGTACTTTCGCGCATAGGATTAAATTCCGTATCTCTACTACGATGTTCTCTTATCGATAGTTTTCACGATCTGTTGGAGAAAGAAGATAGTTTCAGATTTATGCTAGCACTTCTTTTATATCATGTATTATTAAATCTTGGGCACTACGAGAAGCTTTTCCAATTTTTACTTATTATAGACATAAACGTTATCTAAAATTCTAACATTAGTTCTACCGGAACAAGAATTTCATTTGTTTCTTATATAAAATAATTGCTTTTGTCATGCTAAATGAATATGTCTTATACGAATCATCTATTGGTCAATAATATTTGTTCAGCTAGTTCATCTTTTATAATGGTGATTATTTCTTTATATACACATACAGTCGAGGTCACGAACATATATAACAAAACAAAAGTAAAACAATTGAAGCATAACGATCATTCATTATTGTACTCAAATTCCAACTATTATTGACAAAAAAATAATAATAGACCATAGTATAAGTAATATGCCTATGAGACAAACTTATAAATCCATAATCATTACCAATTAACTAAGGCATTATAATATATCTATATATTCAATTAGGTGATTATTTTCCAACATTTCTTGATAAAGTCGAAGAGAATCCATTTCTTCAATGTGTAATGCCTTGGGGATCATTATCATCTCAAAAAATGAAATCACGAACAGATTCAAATGATGGACCTATTCTATGGGTTCGACCTGGCGAACAATATGTACCAACAGCTGAACATAAAATATGTCATCCAAAAAAACGTATGGCTAATGAATTACGTAATTTAACATTTATTGGTCGTGGAACTGATCCACGTGAAGTACTTGTTGAAGATCGTACTAAACCACATAGTGATCATTGTGATAGTGATGGACTTGAAACAACAGCTGCTGTTGGAATATTAAAAGCTGTACATGTTGGAACACCGTATGTTATATTATTTCATATTGTGTTGTTTTTTTTCTTTTACTATATTTTGTTGTTGTGTTTTTAAAGATCGACAGTTAATCGAATGGTTAAAGATGTTGTTTGTTTTCATGCTGAAGATTTTGAAAAAATTGTTGAACGATTAAAAATTGATATTTACGAACCACCTGTATCTCAAGTAAGTTAAATAAATCAAAATTCAAACGATAGAATTATTATGTATTTCGAAAAAAAACAAAACAAGAGTCATGGATATTGTTCAAATAACTTTTGATAGGAATGACATAGAGAACTGAAGTATTTACCATTATCAAAAGAAGAATCAATCAGATACATAAATACTTACTCAAAATTTGATTGGGCTTCATTGGACCAATCAGATTCATTTTCGGTGGAGGTTTTCAAAACGATATTCTACACTCATTTTTTAATTAAACTTGATTGATAATATGATCAGTAGATAGAAAAAATGACTCTCTTTCAATCTACACAAGACCGACACTAATAGCTTGTTCTGGTGAAGAATTATAAAGATTTTCTAGAGATCACTGATTAATCTGAAATTATCCGCAATAGCATCTAGACATGGGTAATATACCATACTGACTTGAAATGTCATATGCCTTTCACCGGTGACAAGTGAAATAGGGACGTCTGTTGTGGGAGAGGTCAGGTCATGGTGAATTTCGTTCGCCCTCTTCCCCTCTAACATCACCACTTCAAGCATGGAAGTACTTTCCGTTGAATTTTTTGACCCTATCATCCCTAAAAAATATTGACAATCCTGGATCTAACATTCGTATCTCAATATTTGTCACAAACAGACTTAGATTGTGAAACTTTGAAAGTACTGAACTAATAGTGTCAGATTATTTCGAATTCAAAAACAAATATTGCCATTCAACTCAATATGGTACCCTTTTCTGAGTGATCATAGATCGAAAGAAAACAAATTTTTCTATTTATTGATCGTATTGTCAATAAAAATTAATTGAAAAATGCCTTTAGAATATTGTTTTAAAAATGTTCACCATAAATCAATTTGATTGATTCATTATTGACCAATTAAATTTCGGCAAGCATTTATGCACATAGGTCTTCTCTTTATAACAGTGAAAACCGTAGCTTTCTATCTTATTCTTATGATGAGTTATTCAAAAAATACCTACGCCTTTTCTCTTGTTTTAAATGATTAATAGCTTCAATTTTCTTCTAGTGTTTACAATGGTGTGATGACGGTAAGCTTAATCAATTACGTCGTGAAGGTATTCGTTATGTTCGTTTGCCCCTTTATGATAATGTAAATAAAAATATTTTCTTTTTGTAATTCGTTTATATTGTATTTTGAATTTTGATAGGATATTTATTTTATTCCAAGAAATGTCATTCATCAATTTCGTTCATTATCAGCTGTAACATCTATAGCATGGCATGTAAGACTTAAACATTATTATCCAAATGATTTACATGAAGAAGAATATACTCCTTTATATAGTCCAATATCTGATACATAGGGAAAAAAAAAGAAAGAAAATCTCATTGTATATAGAAAAATTTTTGTTCAATAACCTATGGTTATTGTTTTACTTCGGTTTTTTTTTCTTTTGCATGCGTTTGTGTGTAATGATTTTTTGTTTTTTCTTTGTCATCTGCCTTTTTTTGTTTCAAGACTATTTAATGTTGTTGTTGTTGTATTTTGTTTTGATAAATGAGATTAAGATGTATAAAAACCAAGAGAAAAAATTCTGTTTTTTTTTTTTTTTATCTCGTCATGACAAACAATTTTTAGATATAATGCCAAATGAACGACGTCAAACTAATTTATTAAGGTAAGTTATTAATAAATATGTATATGTATTAATATCTCTGATAGTAAGACTACAATCATATAAAAGATTACTGTATGTAGATTGTTTGTATTCAGAGAGAAATTAATCGAAGATGAAAATAGAAAATTTTTGTTTTGTTTTTTCTTCATACATTTGTTTTGTTTCGTTTTTCTTTAGAATGGATGTGGACAGTGTATTAAAACCATTTGATGATGAACAAAAATATTTACGTAAGTTTCTTCTTTTTTTTTTTTTAAATTGAAATATTACTAAAGGATATTTACATTTCTTTGTTGAAACTAAAGAGAAATTTTTTACTTATTGTTATAATATCAAAGAGTAACAAGTACACTTTTGGATGCGATGCGGGCTTGATCTAGTGACTAGGCTTTTTTTTCACACAATCTGAATTATTGAACAACTGATTTTATTCAATATTATCGGCACTAGAAATCAAAACACTCGAATATTTTTTTGAATAACTCAAGTAATATACAAGATAATGGCATTCGGTCTTCAGCGATTCATAAATAAAATCGAATGCCGGAAAAATTCTAACGGGCGGATTTTTTGTAGAGAATCTTTGAAGAAGCACATTGTATTTCTGATAACTGACATATGAATCTATTGGTGTCTTTTCTTCATAGGTATATAATCTTGAGTGCGGAACTTCGGACAGGCTTTTATAAGCTTAAGAATTTCCATATTACGGAATCCAGCACTTTATCAACTGTGTCAAAATATACTCGATTTTATGTTCTCTGGATGGTTCTGTACTTAGAAAAAATATCGGGTGCTTCATAATGAATGAACCTCTTCGTATTTTGTTCATAAGTTTTTCTCTTTTCAACGTTTAGCCCTGATTGTTTTTCTAAAAGATGCGCCTTGAAATTTTCTGCAAAAATGTATTGAGTATTTTATTCCAGAATGCAGAAATCGAAAACTACACGGAAAATACTATGAAGCTTCAAAGTCTTTAACTTTTCAAACCATTTTTCATTATACATAAAGTATGTTTTTGAACGCCTACAAATGTATCAGGATATATATATAAATTAGCTTTCTTAACCTGTCAAGTGCGCTCTTTCTCGTGGTATATGACAGATTTTGGCCAAACCTAATGTTGCAATATAAAGATAAATTTATTGAAATTCACTGAATGATATGAAGATAAATGTTTCCGCTTCATTTATCGTATTGAAAGAAACAATGTTTTTGACTTTGTTGTAAGTGAATATGACAGATATATCAAATTCTCTGTAGCATAAAACGAATCCTATTCCAAAATGCTTTGTTTGGAAGAGATAAGATGACCTTATATTATGATGCCAAACTGTTGTTAAAAAATTATCACTATTGTGGAACAGCGTTACGAAAGCAAATCAATTTTCATTCAACTAATATCCATTTCAATGAACAGTGCAGTCGGTTGTAAGTTGAATAACTTCGGCTAGGAAACAGCTAGAGACCTGCGGTTTTCAGTTTTGAATAGAAGGGCAGCAACTTTATATGGAAATATGAACAAAACGGCACTGTCCCAAAATTTGAGGTCACCTGCTTGCAAAATTTGCAGCAACTTGCCTAAGCGTCATCACTGACATTGGCATTGAGTTTTTTTGACATAGGTTTAATAAAGTAGACGATTATCTATCATTTGACACCAACCCCAGCTTTCTAGCTTTTACCGTTAGGAAGTTACAGGCATTTCTCCTAGAGTCCAAAAGTAGCATTTTCAACAGTTTTCACGATTTTTTGACCCTTCATTGGAGTCAAATTACTAAACAGAGTGTATATTCGGAATCAGCATGCAAAACTACGTCGAATGACATGTCTTTGAGCTTCATTTGATGACTTTCATTTTTCACCATATAGATATCATGTACATGCTATGATCCACAGAACGCTATGATAGTTGAGTGACCAAAACGAAAGTCATCAAATGAAGCTCAAAGACATGTCATTCGACGTAGTTTTGCATGCTGATTCCGAATATACACTCTGTTTAGTAATTTGACTCCAATGAAGGGTCAAAAAATCGTGAAAACTGTTGAAAATGCTACTTTTGGACTCTAGGAGAAATGCCTGTAACTTCCTAACGGTAAAAGCTAGAACGCTGGGATTGGTGTCAAATGATAGATAATCGTCTACTTTATTAAACCTATGTCAAAAAAACTCAATGCCAATGTCAGTGATGACGCTTAGGCAAGTTGCTGCAAATTTTGCAGGCAGGTGACCTCAAATTTTGGGATAGTGCCGTTTTGCTCATATTTCTATATAAAGTTGCTGCCCTTCTATCCAAAACTGAAAACCGCAGGTCTCTAGCTGTTTCCTAGCCGAAGTTATTCAACTTACAACCGACTGCACTGTTCATTGAAATGGATATTAGTTGTATTGTAGAAAATTTCTAATTATAAGCAGAAAATAGAGCTTTTCACGGACTACAAAGCGGTTAATTAGATTTGTTTATATCTCATCCTGTAAAAAGTCAAAAACCTCCAAAAGACGAGATTTTGGGTTGGAAAGTTGACGAAGTGCGAGCTCAATAGTATTTTCCGTGTAGTTTTCGATTTCTGCATTCTGGAATAAAATACTCAATACATTTTTTGTAGAGAATTTCAAGACGCATCTTTTGAAAAAACAATCAGATCTCAAGGTTGGTAAGAGAAAAAGCTATGGTCAAAATACGAACAGGCTCATTCATTATGAAACACCCGATATATTCTTTTGACCAGCAATATATAGAAAATGGAATGTAAACCTCTGAAAAACTACTTAAAATTCCAAACCCAAGCAAAAAGAAACTTTAAGACTGTTTATCTACGAAAAAAAAACAATAATTTTGTATGCTAGTTAGCAGAAATAGAATGTGGTTTTCAAAGATTCTCTCAGTCTAAGGAATTATTCTGACAGAAGACTTACCTATGCTTTAGAATTTTGGCTATGGACTGCTAAAAATCACATATCATTATCTTGGATTGTGCATGAGTTCTTCAAAAACAAAAAATATTCAAGTACCTTAACTTCTAGCTTCGATAGTAGTACTAAGTTTCTGATAGCTTCATTCCAACACACACTTAGAGTTCGACTATATGACTTACGGTACAGTAACGATAAATCTAATGGATAGATAAATATGAGATGCTCTATGACTAGAGCGCATTCGGTGGGTATCACACCCAACGAATGCTACAGTGAAAGAGTCAATTATTATTTTGTTCTTATAAGATCACCGTCACGTTTGTCTGAGAAATGTATAACAGATAGGTCCTATCTATGACATTGACTTCTGTTCATTTCACACATAATTGAATCATTTCAATATTTACGAATTCAAGAACCAGGATTATGTCGATCAATCAGTATAATTTAAATGATCATTTGTTTTGAGTATGGATAAAGGCTAATAAAAAATCGATAAAAAGTACAAGTGCTGTTAATTGATTAATTTTTTCTATAAGAAGAATCATGAAGAAAAAAACTGTATGAGCGCAGATGTCATCAGTCAATATTATTTGATAAATTCGAAGACGAAATCTACTGCTTTTGTTTAAATATACCTTGAAAATTATTTATTAAAAAAATATATTTTTACTGAAAGTCAGTTTGAATATTTACATCAAATTTGTTGGATTGATCAAAACGGTTGATAATACATTTGAGATGTGTTCAATTTTATTAAACATGTATATTGAACCTTTGATTTCTAAATCATAAATTGACAAAAACTCGCCAACGATTACAAAAAAAGAGCTCATATTCATTCTGCTAATCTCTCTGAGACTTTGAGATGCAGTTCTAAAACGTGCTAGCAAGAATCAAACAATGAGGTATGAGACATTGTGTACAAGGAAAGGTCTACAATAATTCATGCCGCTTTCATTGACGTTTTGCTTACATATAGAGTATCTTATTTGAAGAAAAAGAGTAAGTTTGATTTCGGTTGATGAGGCTTCTTGTATAGAGAGAGAAATCGTATCAATAAATCTCGTATAACTCATTTGAAAGTTACTCTGACTTCTCACAGTGTACAACTCTCTATCACAAACGGAAATAGATATCAATGAGACCAAGACAACCATGAAAGAATACTTGCACATGACCTTCTAAGAAAAAAAAACGACAATCCATCAACTAAAATCCGATCTGAAATTTCGCTCGGTCATGACAAGAACTGGAAAATCCCAGCATCGAAATCATAGATCTGGATATCGAACGAGGACTCCTGTAATCAGGGATGATTCTCAAGTGTAACTCATCAATCGAACTAATATTTTGTCCATAAGTAGGTCCTGATGAGATCAGTATGAACACATGAAGATTCGTTTCTATGCATTGTCCTTCCGACATTATTACAATTTCACTGAATTGTTGATTTCTGGCAGAATATTTGGAAAAAAACGATTTTCGGCATTTCAACATGAAACCTATAAGATAAATTTCGTGTACGTTAGGACGCTAGACAACTTCTGAACCCTAAAGCATGAATTCTTCTTGACCTATTAAATATTCAAGAATAATCATATAAAACAAGAAAAAGACAGAAGAATCCAATGTCTTCAACATTTCATATCTCAAGAAGAAGACATATTTTTAGACTGAAATTTTGAGGGTATTCTAATCTTTACGACAGTCATCTATGGGCAAAATTTTGTAATTCGATTTCTCACAAATACATTGTCAAAGACTTTTATGGAATCATATTTGACAACCTTTTCTCGCTAATGAAATTATAAATTTTTTATAAGCTCAGGTTCAAGAAAATAACATCGTAAACGATGAAAATCATAGAAGAACATTCAACATGTTGTAGAAGTGTAGATTTTTTTCTTACATTCACATAAAATAACTTATGTTTTGTCTAATCATCATTGGCTTTAATCTCTTTATTTTTTAATATGTTCAGAAAAACTTCGTCAATCAACAACAGTTGAATCAATTCTTCTTCATTTATTTGATTTATTACAAATTGAAGATTATCATTTATTATTTTCAACAATAAATTTTCAAACAATTGATTTAAAATGGTTAGAAAATTTTAGTCGTATATGTATGCAACGTTATTTAGAATTTGATGATATATGTTTTTCTTCGAAAACATCACAAATAAATCTTGAAAATAAAAATGATACAAAATCAATTATTGAAAATTATACAAATTTTTTAATTGAAAATTTAAAAAGACGTTTTACATTAAAATATTTTTGTGCAATTATAATTGAATTAGAACAATTAAATCATTTTAAATTTGAACAAATATCAAAACAATTAAATGAAAATAATCATATTATACATGATATTTTTCTATTATTTAATACAGATAATGATGATAAAGATGATAGTATTATACATATAAGTTCAACACCAGCACAAATTATAAATCGTCCAATTTATACGAATTATAAACCTATGCATATGGTTTATTTACGTGAAAATCTTCTAATTAAAAATGATCTTGATTTACGTTTACCATTAAAAGGTATAACAAATACATTTATAGCTGATTTAATACATACAAAAATTATTAATATACTTGATGAAACAACTAGTAAAACATATGATATACCAACAAAATGGCTTTATTTTTCTAAACCATGTGAATCAAATATAATTTTACCATTAAAATTACGTGTTCTAATAATTGATTCTCAAACAAATTGTCGTCGTTATGGTTTTATTGGTGAAGAACCAGGAAAAAATAATGATTATCGTTGTTTAATTTTTTTTACTGATGATAAAACAAATATGTCAGCAAATTATCATCCATCATCACATATACATATATGTCTTGATCAAACATTTTCAATACATACACATGAATGTCAAAATGATTTTCTTGATAGATATTTTGCATCATATCCTGAACGTATGATGTTAAGAGCTAAAGAAGGTTCACTTGTTAAAGTACGAAATATATTTACAAATTTTAATCATAATTTATTTATACATGCACTTGTTGTACAAATTGATGGTTCAATGATGCAAATTGAATTAAGTCATAGTAAACAACGTATATGGCTTTATCGTGGTTCACCATTACTTGATCAAATGCATACTTATTATTCAACACAAAATAAAGCAACTATTAATGGTTTTGCTCGTCGTACAGCTCGACAACATTTATCAGCTAGACGAACAAATGCACCGGAAATTATTTGTCTTAATGATCAAACAACAACTACAACAGTACCATCAACAACAATGATAAATAAAGGAAAATTAGTTCGAACAGTTGAACAAGCAATCGATGGAATAGATGAAACAAGTTAGTAACATATGTTAAAGATAGAATCATATTGGATATTCAGAATTCGAAAAATAGTTTATTTCATAGGATTATAGTTAAGAAGGTTTTTAGATTATCAGAATCATACTTACGAGAGAACCGCCCGAAGTGATTAACTCATTTTGAGCTCATACTTTGGACATATAGAGCGAACCTCTGAACTAGCACAAACCTAGAAAGATTCGGATCCACATAGCATTTCTGTTCGGGAATATTGAATTTTCAAGTTAAAGGAAACAGAGTAATTTCGATCTATATTGCAATTACCTCGTAAACGAAAGTATAATCAGAACTGAATTTTTTATTATAAAACTAATCTCCTCATCGATCGACAGATCATTTCTAAAATGTTCAAATTTTTATCTCATCTCTGTAATTCGCAGTAATTTTTCTCGTAAATGTCCGGGAGACTTCGAGTCTATCCATGAAGTTTACTTCAATATCGATGATACTGTTGGTCACTAGTTGAGCTGTCGTTTATCATCTTTTATTTAATGTAGTCATTGTCGCAAAGTACTCTGCTTCGAACATTTCTTTGAAAGCTTATCAATCTTACTATTAGCTATATGTGCTGTCCTTTTCTATTATCGTATGATTTTCAATGAAACTATTAACACATATAAAAATTCACTACATCGTGATTAATTTCTATAAGAAAAATCACTGTGAATTACAGAGATGAGATAAAAATCTGAACATTTTAGGAAGGATCTGCCAATCAATGATAAGATTAATTTATCATAAAATGTTCAGCTCTGATTATACTTTCGTTTGCGAGATAATTGCGATATAGATCAAAATTGCTATGTTCACTATAACTTGAAAATTCAATATCTCCGTATAGAAAGGTTATGAGTACGAACTCTTCTAGGTTTGTGCTAGTCTAAAATTTTCATTGATTTTTCTTTTTGGGCACTAAAACTAAGCATTTAGTTGTTGTCGAAATCGCAGCTCTAAATATTTAACTAAAACTTTCTCATCATACGATGAGAGTTTCGGATAATGTTGAATGAATTTATTATGTTCACGAAAATTTAGTCAGATGTTAGAAATTAATCTTGATCTAAACAAAAAGTTTTTCACATTAAAATTATGAGTGCACTTTTCTCAATTACATTTAATCCTATTCTCATAAAATCTAGATAGCTAGTAGTTTTCAGTGTCATACTTTTATTACAAAATATCAGAAAAATTCCGTTCTAATTTCAAGATCTTGCCAAATATTAACATAATGTAATTGTGAAAATATGAAGAAATCTTAGACTATGTTAAATAATTAATTCAAATAAGAATATATCAAATTTATCAATTGGAAAGAAATCATATTCTGATGGAACTAAAGCATAATAATGATGTTAGTTGTTATGAGTTGTTAGATGAAGCATTGTAAGAGAAATTTTCGTTTTTCCTTAATATTAGTGTATATGAAACGTGACAGACTAACATGAGAGTTGTTTCGATTAGAAACTTCAAGATTTATATGAATCTTACATTGCATATCTTCATAGAACTGATTCCTTAATTGATATATTAATCGCACCGATTCTTCAGTAGTTAAGCCAAGAATATCGACCGGTCACTTATAAGTGTGCTCATAATCATTTTTATATAGAATACAACGGGTCAGCCATAATAAATAAGATTAATTGGGAATGCAGTTTTCTCCTATTCATATAAAGTATTTACTTTTACTAATGAGGGAACGTTCCGAGGTGCTAAAAAGTTTTTGAGCCCAAATTTTGTCCATAAGTAGGGAATATATAGACTAGAAAAAGCCTAAGAGGATATGGGCCCAAATTGAATTTTAGCTGAGATATCGACTTTTTACTAGAATTTACCTATGGGACCCCATTTTTCCCATGAAATCAAAGTTTCGAGTTTTGACGTGAAACTTTGCCCATACTAAGACCTCAACTAGAGTAGCTCATCTACAAAGTTTCAGAATTTTTGAACTAACCATTCCCAAGATATCAGTCTGTTAGCATAAATACAGTTTTTTACGGATATTATTGTATGCATGAATATTTTGAAAACATTATATCTCGCAAATGCTTAGTCTAAAAATTCTGAAACTTTTGTAGATGGGCTACTCTAGTTGAGATCTTAGTATGGGCAAAGTTTCACGTCAAAACTCGAAACTTTGATTTCATGGGAAAAATGNTTGAACTAACCCTTCCCAAGATACCAGTCAGTTAGCATAAATACAGGTTTTTACGGATATTATTGTATGCATGAATATTTTGAAAACATTATATCTCGCAAATGCTTAGTCTAAAAATTCTGAAACTTTTGTAGATGGGCTACTCTAGTTGAGATCTTAGTATGGGCAAAGTTTCACGTCAAAACTCGAAACTTTGATTTCATGGGAAAAATGGGGTCCCATAGGCAAATTCTAGTAAAAAGTCAATATCTCAGCCAAATTTCAATTTGGGCCCATATCCTCTTAGGCTTTTTCTAGTCTATATATTCCCTACTTATGGACAAACTTTGGGCTCAAAAGCTTTTTAGCACCTCGGAACGTTCCCTCGTAAGAACCTGGTTTTTAATTTCGAAGTAGCCAACACACTGAAGCATACTTTATATTTTGACTGCAAAATTCAAAAAGAAAAAGAAAAAAAAGTATGACAAATGTTACTTGCGTAATTTCCTAGTTGTTTACAAGCATGAAAATATTATCAATGACATCATCTACCTTTTCGGCTATATTTCAAATTTTGAACGAAAGTTTCATGTCGAAACTTGTAATATAATAGATAAAAACAAAGATGCCCTCGAACTTTTCGTCGCATAGACAAAATGTTACTTGCCTAGGCATGGATGGAAGTGCACTTACAGAAGTTAGCGAAGGAAACAATCACAGCCATACATCGGTACCCAATTTTTCGCAACGAATTGTTCTTTAACGTAAATTCTTAGTAGTGGGAAAAATAACAAAATTTTTCATTCATATTTGAGTAAGTTCGATTTTTTGTCAATTTCGGAGCAAACATATGTTTGAATTGTTGTGCAAAGACTAAATGTTTTTCTTTAAAACTTGAAATTCTCTATTGAGAAAAAGTTTCTTTTTACATTTAGTCTCATTCATTGAAGCTCATTCGTTAGTTTTTAAAAGTCAAGAAGAGTAGATACGACTGTGTTGTATCTGATCACTTTCATCGTTCACATTCTCATTTTTCATATTTGAAAATTTTTTAGGATCTATAAAACGAGCGCGAATATCCAGTGAACAAGATCTTCGAAAACCTTCACCTCTTCAATCAACAACATTAATTCAAACGGGTTTACGAACACTTCGTCCACGACAATCAAATAATACTACATCTAATACATTACCATTATCATTATCATCATCATCCTTACCTAATGATCATACATCGTCAATAAATCTTCATCGTCAATCATCTTCATCATCGATTTCATCAAGTCATGGTACTACAACAACAATGCAATTACGTTCCAGTCACGTATGTTGTCTTTTTTTTTTTTTGAGACAATAAATTTTAAAATAAAGATTTGTTTTTCTTTGTTTTCAATAGACAAATACAAATGCAAAAGTAATAATTAATCCATTATTTCTTGAATTAGCTGAAAAATTTCTACTTCATTATTCATATGAATTTCATCCACATAATTGTTCACATAAATGTGTTGTTTATGCTGAAAAACATTTTCATCAATTACCACGTACAATGAATCCATTGTTAAAACCGTTTGCATGTCATTGGACAATGCTTGATAATATACGAGTTCGAAAAGCTGGTGATGTTCGTCTTAAAGTAACACGTTCAGCATTTATCTATTGTGCACCATGTATGTTCAAGATAAAACAAAAAAAAAAAAAGAAGCTTCATACTCTCTGAATACTCAAATAAGTGATCTATTCGAGTTTTTAGATATGTATGAAGTATAATATTTTGATTTTCATGAGAAAATATTATTTTTGTTTTTTTAAATAAATTTTTGATCTATTTTTAAGGTGGTAGAAAACTTTTAACTCAAACTCAAGTTGATAATTATCTTCATGAAACAAAATCTAAATTAACTATTGAATTATTTGTATATGATAGTAAAGTTAATGTTAAACAACATTATTGTCCAGATGGTAAAATTATAAATTCAGATATATCAAGTGGACAAGAAAACATTCCTATATCAGTTGTTAATGAAATTGATAAAGAACCAGGAAAAATTGAAGAACCAAGTACATTTACATATCGTGTTGAACGAACACCAGTTGCAGGTGTTAATATGGTTACTAATGAACCAACAATGACATGTTGTACTTGTACAGATGGATGTAGAAATAGAGTTCAATGTGCTTGTAAGCTATTCAGAAAAGAATGAAGTTTTTCCTTTTTTTTTTTTTTTTTTTTTCTAAATTCTATTATTTATAATGAATCTCGAAGATAAATAGACTTGATGATGATCAACATTCTTACAGGTTCTATTAATCTTGAGTTTGCAAAGAAGATTTTTCTTATGAAGAAAATTTTCCAACTGTTTAGTCGCTTTTGAGTCGAGACTAGATGCATTATATAGATTCTAATGAACTATGAATACATTGAATTCTTAAAAAATGTTTTTCGAACTTCAACTTGAAACTTTCCATAGAGACATCCGTTAACGTGTATACTTATTAGATCTGGTTTGCTGCTTCTATCCTAAGGTACAATCATGGTATGAGCGTATCTTTTACATTACGTATATAAATCGACAGATTTGATCGTTCCTATTTCAATATAGAAGCAAATTAAAAAACTTGAAACTACTCTCGTTAAGATCTTTTTTGATGGAAAGTTTCAAATCGAAATTCGAAAAGTAGTTTTTACAGACCAGAGCATTTATTTAAAAACTATTGTAAAAGTACAGTATCTCCGTAGCAATAAGCTAAGAGGATGAACTCTTTTCATCGTATTCATAGCTCATTTGGGTCTACACAAAGTACATAGTCTTGACTCAAAAGCGATCGAAAAGTGAAGGACTACCTTCATGAGTGAATAGAAAAGAGGTAAAAAGTTTAGAAACAATTTCGTATTATGATGGGTATTTGTGAGATTTCTATCAACAGCTTTTGGGTGGGAAGATTTCTGGAAAACCAAGGCTCTCTAAATCGATTTATTTTGAATTCTGTCAAAAACATTTTGCAAATAAGCGCATAGAATAGAAAAAATATTTTGATGCCACCCGAATTCTTCACGGTTAATTATCAGCGAATGATAATCATTGTGCGATTAGCCTAAACGTTTATTTTCTGTTGTTTTTATGAAAATTTATGTGAATTTACTATGTTTTTTTACTTTGAAGCCTTCTGTAAAGCTCTCGGCACAATCACACAGGCTTCGAAAACAATGTGCTTGGAAGGTTAAGAAATTCAGGTGGAATGTATTGAATTTAATCATTACCTCGTTACTTATTTCTTTCCACTGGCAATAAACGCTAATTCTAAGGATAGAGTTTGCGAAAAGTCGAAAGCTAAGTCTGTCAGGCTCTAAAGTTCTATTTGAATTATTCATAATCATACAGTAAACAATTGTCTGTAAAATAAAACGTTTTTTTTCATCAAGATATATCAATCTTTGTGAAAGTACATGAGTGTCTTTTTTGTTAATGTTATTTCGTAAGGTAAGACGATTTTTGTAATCTGATAGAATAATTTTGATTCATTAAATGAATATCTGAATCTATTACATTCTTGATAGAATTTCTTTTTGATTAGGTTGGTTACGTACTTTGAAATATGCTGAATTAATCGGCGATGAACGTGTTAAAGCAATGAAAGCTAAACATAAAAGTCAATCAGAAATTCTTCATCAACTTGGTTATCGTTTTCGACGTTTACATAAAAATGTTCCTGGAGGAATTTATGAATGTAATAGTAGATGTTCATGTAATAAACAAACATGTTCAAATCGTGTTGTACAAAATGGTATTATTGCACAACTTCAGGTAATTATTTAGATTAATAAATAAAAGAAATTTTTTCATTTTTTTTTTTTTTTTAAATAGTTATTTAAAACTGTTGGACGTGGTTGGGGTGTACGAACATTACATGATCTTCCAATTGGCACATTTATTAGTATTTATTCAGGTGAAATTTTTACTAGTGAACAAGCTGACGAAAGAGGAAAATTACTTGGTGATGAATATCAAGCAGATTTAGATTTCTTTGAAGTAAATATAAGAATTAAATAAATATACACAAAAAATAATGAGATGATCTTTTTTTTTTTTTTTCTTCGAAGAATATTAATAATGATTCGGAAGAAGAACAGAATGGTGGCAATTTAGAACAGGATGATGAAGAAGATAGAAGTGATACATCTCCGTCAAGTACTGAATCAGGTAAATGTAGAATCAGTTGCTTTTTAATGATAAAAGATGAGTCTGCAATTAAATTTGAACAAAGAAAAGTTAATTCTTTTTTATGCAGCAATAGTCTTCTTTACTGCATCTGTTATATTATCATTTGAAGCGTTGAATTATATAAGGTAGAGATTTTCACTTGCTACAGATCATGAGAAATATTGTTGATATTCAATCATAGGTTAATGACTCGTTCGAATATATTTTAATTCCGCAGCGACTGTGTTAGCTGCTTTTTTGCATAGAATTAAAGATGAGATAGTTCTCTATAAAATAATAAAAGAATAAAGTATTTCTGAACAATCATTCAGGAATGGTTGAACTCATTTTACAAGTCTATTTTTCAGAGAAATCAAGAAAATTGCCCAAACTGACACAGAGTTTCCTACCACCAATATACTCATTGTTGACAAATGACTTGCGCTCTGAAGTTCAGGTAGTTTGAAAAAAAGCCTTCGTCTCATAATTCCTACGCTAGAAGTCTTATAAAAATACTGAAGTCATATTCAAAAAGAACACAAAATTCTTATTCTAACCCAATAAAATATTCGACTGATAAATGAACAAAACCTTTTGTCAAATTACATTTCGAATCACCAATTCAAAGAAAACGTTCGATTAATTAATCATATGATTAATATGATTCAAAGATAAAAATGAGTAGTAATGTCATAGATCCATTTAACTTATATTCTTCAGAGAACTATATAGGTCATTACATGAGTGTTTGCGCTAAATTGAACATAACAATAGTAATGGCTAACAAACAAAATATAAATATATGATTTTATGAAGAAATAGAAATATACAAATAAAAAAAAATTCTTATTAATCTTAACTTTTGTTTGAAATGAATATGATGTCACAGTTATATATATATTATATCAAAGAATAGCAACTAACGAGGGAACGTTCCCAAGTGATTAAAAGCTTTTGAGCTCATATGTTGCCCATTAGGTAGGGGACCACTAGATTAGAAAAACCTCCAAAGGATCCGTGCCCATATTGAGAGT